TCATCAAAACGTCGTCCAATCAATCGTTTTGCATCGAATACTGTATTCTCTGGATTACGAGCTGCTTGATCTTTTGCCGCATCTCCAACCAATCGTTCTGTATCAGTGAATGCAACATATGAAGGCGTTGTTTTGTTTCCTTCTGAGTTGGCAAGAATTTCAACCTGAAAATAAAATAGAATTATTTCCGATTATTCTTTAAAAAGTTACAAATTAACATACCTTTCCATTCTGGTAGACTCCAACACATGAATATGTCGTACCGAGGTCGATTCCAATAGCTTTGCACGAAGACATTGTTTGTAGTTTGTAGTGACAGCAGTAGAATTAGATTCTTCTGAGGGTGACGTTCCCCTGATTCTGCCCAGCTTATATACTTTTTCATGAACATCTTCTGGAACCATCTGGAACATTCTAGAAGCCAAAAGGCGGGTTCCTTCGCTGTACTCTCTTCTTCTCCCATTGTCTTTCTTCTCCCCAGTTGTATTTGTTCGAGAAGATTCTCGAACATTCAAAAAGAAGGAGAAGGAAAAGAAAAAAAGAGTGTGTCAAAGGAAGAGACGCAGACAGAAAAGGCAGAAGGGTGCCTCTTTGTTTGAAGAGACGTTAGAGAAAACGAGAGGAAAAGAGTTCAAGAATGTTCCAGATGGTTCCAGAAGATGTTCATGAAAAAGTATATAAGTTGGGCAGAATCAGGGGAACGTCACCCTCAGAAGAATCTAATTCTACTGCTGTCACTACAAACTACAAACAATGTCTTCGTGCAAAGCTATTGGAATCGACCTCGGTACGACATATTCATGTGTTGGAGTCTACCAGAATGGAAAGGTATGTTAATTTGTAACTTTTTAAAGAATAATCGGAAATAATTCTATTTTATTTTCAGGTTGAAATTCTTGCCAACTCAGAAGGAAACAAAACAACGCCTTCATATGTTGCATTCACTGATACAGAACGATTGGTTGGAGATGCGGCAAAAGATCAAGCAGCTCGTAATCCAGAGAATACAGTATTCGATGCAAAACGATTGATTGGACGACGTTTTGATGAAGAAACAGTTCAATCAGACTGCAAACATTGGCCATTTGGCGTAAAAGGAAAACAAGGAAAACCAGTGATCGAAGTGGAAATGAAAGGAGAAAAGAGACAGTTCAATCCAGAAGAAATCTCAGCAATGGTACTTCAGAAAATGAAGGAAACTGCAGAGACATACCTGGGACATGCAGTCAAGGATACAGTGATTACTGTACCTGCATACTTCAACGACAGTCAGAGACAAGCAACCAAAGATGCAGCTACCATTGCTGGACTCAATGCCATCCGAATCATCAATGAACCGACTGCAGCTGCTCTTGCTTATGGATTGGATAAAGGAATCAGTGAAGAGATGAATGTACTGATCTTTGATCTTGGAGGAGGTACTTTTGATGTTTCAATCCTTTCAATTGCTGAAGGATCAATATTCGAAGTCAAGTCCACAGCTGGAGATACTCATCTTGGAGGAGAGGATTTCGATC